ACCTAAATATGTAAAGCAAATTTACATGCTACCCTATGGTATTCTGTTTATTATTGGACTTTTTGTTCTTTCCCTTTTTAAATTTTGATTGAGTAACCACAATTGTACTACAGGGTACGAAATGCTAAAACATGAAGTTCGTTCGTATACAACCCACAACTTTATAGATGTAGTCACATGCACGGTACGATTTTATTGAGGCTATCTGAACCGATGGCGAACAATTTATTCTCCCGTCAGAAGATAACTGTCCACGAAATACACGACTGTCTCGAGACACATCCACGACTGTCTCGAGACACATTCACGACTATCCCCAGATAGACACATCCACGACTGTCCCTAGACACATCCACGACTGTCCCCAGACACAACCACGACTGTCCCCAGACACATCCACGACTGTCCCCAGACACAACCACGACTGTCCCCAGACACATCCACGACTGTCCCCAGACACATCCACGACTGTCCCAAAAAGTGCTCACTTGCTGTCGTAAACATGTGATACAATGTACACGACAAGGGGTTATCTATTCTTTACGCTCTTCTACAGCCAATCCAGACATCCTTGTTCCAAGCATCCTGATAGAAGCAGCAGAGGGCAGCACAGTAGATCTTGTATGGAACTACACGTACACTCCAGACTTGATACTTGAACGCTGGGTGAGGGCTGACACTGGTGACAGCGTTGCCCTGCGCAGTGCTTTGAGTGAACCCAGCGTATTTCTGGTGAGAATCAGTGTGTTTATATCTCCTTGTGTTGTTAACCTTGCTAAGGGTGGTGAGGCTTGCATGTTAGGTATGTGAAGCATGTATATAAATACTACCGAGTACAAAACTACCCTTTAGCTGTCTAGCTGGTTTGTGTACAGTACTAGTATTTTTATTGTTCCTGTTCTTGTAACGTCAGACGAACAGTGGCTGTGGCACCCATGCTGACCCTTTTCCCTAAAGCATATCCTAAAGAGGTGATAACCACCAACATGTTGAAATTCTTCGGTTCGTCCCAGAACAAAACACGACTTCATGTTACAACCTATTGCTATTTCTACATTACCGGAAATTTCTGCCACATTTAGTTTTAGAAAAGAACATTTGATAATAATAAATGATATAAAAAATGGGGTTTGAATTTAGTATGATAACAACTACCTACCCTTACCCAGGATCGAGCAGAGCTCTTCGGTGTAGCCTCGCTCAGAATCCGCGATCTGAGGAAAGAGGACACCGGGTTCTACGAGCTGCACGCCATTTACGGTGACGGGAAGAGCAACTCCCGGGCAGTCGAACTCATCGTGTCATGTAAGTGCCCTATATACGCCTAGCTACCAGCGCTCAGCCCTTTTTGGGAAGCTTTCAAGCATTCTTGAACACATTAATCCTGGAAGTCTGAAATCTCCAATTTCTTGTTATTGCCCTCAGACGGTCCGGCCTCCATGGACATCATAGTTCACCCATATCCGAGTTATGAAGGTAACAACATCAACTTGACGTGCGTCGCCGACAGCGAACCGCCCTCCAACTACACATGGGTGCGGGAAAACGGGGACCTGCCATCCGATAGGTAAGTACAAGTACATGTAACACGTCTGTAACCGTAACTATCGCGAGATTGAACCTGTATTGAACCTGTTCATGCTAAATAAACTCCATGAATAGTTGACCTGCTATTCCGCTGGTCTTGACAAAGAACACATGTGTTATGCAGTAAGCACTATATTTACAGGTTCATTGTATCAGAGAAATCACCCTATCTCTTTTCGACCAGTACAATAAACAGTGGGCAACGAAAGAAAGAAAGCAAAACGTCTATTGTGTCAGAAGATGGGTAGATCATAACTTTTTTTTATGTGGTCATTCATTATTTCTTTGTGTTTTTCTGTCCTGAAGAATGACGTATAACTCCAGAACCGGTGTGCTGAGTATCCGGAACGCCACACGGGAAGATGTGGACAAGTACGCATGCCTAGCTGGGAACGGAGTGGGCTATCCTGCCAGAGACGTCACAGATCTCGACCTGCGCTGTAAGTTGACGTACCGACAGACTCCCTTTGAGTAAAGAGACTCTTTTTACCCAACCAAGTCTTTTATTCAGCCGACGCAGAGCACAGTGCATTTGCTGAGCACAGTACGTTCGCAGAGTCGCTGTTGAATTTACCCCATTCTCTGTTGAATTTAGTCCCTTATCTGTTGAATTCATGATCAGTTCCTTCGTTGAGCACAATTTTTGTCGCTTTGGTCGCTTTCGTACTATTCGCGGAACCTAACCTTGTTTATCGCCCCCTGTCCAGACTCTCCGCGCAGCACCAGTCTGCAGGCGGACCCGGGCTGGGCCTGGCGGGAGGGAGACGCCGTGACGCTGCGGTGCACCACGGACGCCTTCCCGCCCGCCACCTTCACCTGGCGCCGGGAGGACAGCGGCAACATCCCCGATGAACCCAGAGTCGAGGTACGGTAGCCTCTACCTGACTCTACCAGACCAAATAGGTTAAATAGTATACCAGATGAGTTAGGTGGCATTGCGTAGCCTCCAACCGGCTGACTTACTAATCAGTCTATTTGGTCAGAGGCGAGATACGGTACGCCAAAAAAAAACCTTATGGTAAAATTGTAAACAATAATAATGTATTGTTTAACAAAGATTAAACAGAGACAAAATTTTCAACGACCTGATGAAGGCGACAGTGGCCGTTTGCTCTGTTTCTTCCTCTTCTTCTTTTCCAAACAAATAAAGATCAATGACCTGGACTAGATGTCTGTCACCATGGTAACTAGTGCTGTAGCAGACACCCTGCGGTGTTGGGTTTACATAATGTAGCAGGGCAGAGTTGGAGGGGCCGGTCACCATATCATAGTACATATGAATGTGTTTGAGTAACAATAAATAGAGCAGTGGTTTTGATAGGATAGACAAATTGTGAAGGTAAACTTTATGCATTTGATTTGCAAATGTTACCTTTGTAGTTTTCAATATGTAATTTACCCACTCAGATGCTAACTGAAGAATTTATTCATATTTTAGCAAAACCCAGTGGCGGGGACGTTAATATTCACCAAGATAGAGAAGGGAGACAAGGGAACGTACGTGTGTGAAGCTCAGAACGGGATCGGTCAACCGGACACGGCAAAGTTTGTCATTGACCAAGTTTTGGAAGGTACGTATCTTCGCTATGTCGATGAAGATTAGACACCCAGCTGATAATAAAATACTAAAGGAACAGCTACTATAGTAACTGTTTTCATTTTGAAAGCAGTCAGACGTTTCAGGTAGCATCCACAGAAATAAGATATGCAATGATTCTTGATTCCTGTTGACTAAAGATATCCTTCAGTCACTGACGAATGGTAGCAGATGCTACTTGAAACCAAGAACATTTTGTAAAGTATCCTTGTTGAAACGTCTGACTGTTTTCAAAACCTATTTAGTTGCTTGAGTAACTGTTACTTTGGTACGCATCTTCCTTTGGGAAATTACATGTTTATTAAAGGCTTCATCAATCATACTACATGCTATCGTACTATTTTCCCTGGCTGTAATCTATCTAATTTCCATGAATTTTTCCGCTGCTTTTTCATCACGCTACTAGTATCTTTCATCATCAAGCTTTGACTATTGTCTTCAGTCTGCTTTTATGAACTGAAAAGAAACGTTTATCAAATTCAAAGTTGCTCTAAATAAACGCGCTTTCAATGAGGCAAAATGAGGAGGCATACAGCAAGGTACATGTAAATTTGTCTGACTTGATTTTGCTCTATTAAAAGAAACATCTAATTCAAAATTGCTCTGAAGAAACACGCTTTCAATGAGGCAAAATGAATGAGGCAAAAACTAACAAATGTGTAAATTTGCCCGACTTGATTTTGCTGTGAGAGTTCCGCACAGATCCTTTGGTAACAGAATGCACGAACTTAAAGTATTCCCACCTCTCTAGCATTGCCTGATGTTCTTGACAGCATGGGCCAGAATAGCAACGGCGGGTCAGGTCAGTAACATTATGTAACATTACGAAAAGGAAATTTGGTAAATTCCTTACAAAGCCAGTTGAACTAACCCTACTCCATTGCAAATAAGTGTCATTCAGAAAGAGGAAGTGAAAAATATGACGCCTTACAAAGTGTATTTAAAAGATAGAAACACGGCCGTCAGCCATGTTTGTTTACATTCTGGTAGTTTGTGGTGGCACCACAAACTGAGTGTGCCTCGTGTAGGCTGTTTTAACGTCAACAATAAATGTCAGAATTGTGAGATAATTGGAAAATATGTTGAAAAGTGGAGGTAAATTACAATGACACGAAGCCTTTTTATTGAAATATTTCCATTTTTGGTGCAAAAAAGTTACATATAATGCCTGTTTGATTTGTGATAAAATTTACAGGATTTTTTACAGTGTATTTCAGTTTTTTGACACAAGAAACGGAAAATACGATGCGCGTCTACGTATATTTTGCATTCCATCTCGAACTTATTCCCCCACCTTTCATACTCTAACGTCATTCAATACACGGTTTAACTTCGACACACTTTTGGATGAATATTTCCTTTTATAAGCAGTCTTTTCCTTCAAGTTATTAATATTGTATAGACATATGCGTACTAATTTTATAATAACCATTTCCGCTAAAGAAGCTCGTTGCATTCCCATACATTAACTTTCGTTATCTTATTTGCATATCTTATTTCTCCCAATAGAAGAGAAACCCGCAACCAACGAAAATTCATCCAATCAGATAAGCGGTGTAAGCCACGTGACTTCATCCGTTCTCCTCTGCCTGGCCGCCATGTTGTTCAGCCTCACCGTGTGTCGGCTCTGACCAGGAGCAGTCTTTATCTAATATTGTTGCCGTCTAGAAAGCTTTTGTACCAAATTCTGCTTTTCTGTTGTATTAATATCTACCACTCGATGTAACAGTTATCACTTGTTATTAGGTATCATCGGCGCCTAACTAGTTTTTTTTTTTTTTACTCCATGAACATTGCTGTTTTATGCCTTTTAGATCTTCTCCTTTTTTTTACAATACGCAATCTCACAGTTTCAGCGCCGCCGGGGATTGTGGGTAAGGTCAGAGGTTAAGGCCCACGTGACGTCACTGGTTCTGATTTGGTGCCATAGTGGTCTTTTGATTTGAGGATGTGAAACAGGCTCAAACTATTAAAGGACACCCTTTGAGAAAATTATAATGTAGTAGGTAAAAGTAAAATGGTCGATGGAGGCTGGAAGAATAGAAAGCTAAACAGTGAAGTGCTTTAAACTTTGACCTTGAACCACAGTGCACTGCACTCTTACCTGTGAGGCAATTTATTTGACGAACTCTACACAGTAACTGCATTTTGTTCGCAATTATTTTTATCTAGTTTCTCTTAGAATTTGTCAGTATGGAATCCTTTGGCACCCCAATTATGCTCTTGTGTGCTTAGACTATTAACTACTAACTAACTATATAAGTCACATGCTTGTAACAGATAATACATGTACAACCCCCAATGTTGTCCTTACGCACTAGATACTTTCAAAGTTTTGGCATCCATTGAATGACAAAGCATTTATTTCTTTAGGATTGATAACTTGCAAGTGCAAGTGAATAAGACCAGCTTATTGGTCATTGAAAATTGTCTTGTTGTGTAATATATAGATGTGAATTGACGACAACGCTATTGGGCTTAAGGAGTTAGATAATATCCATACTCAAAGCAACGTGCTGATTATAAATGACTATATCAATAAATGATGTCTGTTGAACCCTTGTCTGCGTACTATAATGACAGTTCATCTGTGTTGGTACTTACATGTTTCTCTCACGCCGTTAACGTTAAGATAGTGGGTTGTGCATTGCGTTTGATATTGATTAGATTATGACAATATTACATATTGAATCGTATGTAGAAAGAACAGTACCGACACTGCTAATCCTTGATGGTGTTTATGTTAATGATTTAGTCGAACCCTGCATCTGCTTGGAGATTATTATGGCTATACAATTTTCCATTTGACCCTTCTGTACACCCCTATAACTGCATAAATAGAATCGTCCCAATTAAGCCTTACTTCATTGTCTGCCAGTCAGGCTCGACAAGCCCATTGTGCGTCTGTATGTACCAGAAAACGTGTCATGTAGTCTGACAACATTATGAGTGCTGTAGTGGAGAAGTCTTGCTTAGAAAACGGACAGAACTTTGGCTTTCAGTTCGAAGGTTAGTAGTTATTTATTATGATCTCAGGTGCATGTGATGCCATCTTTCCCCCAAAGAAGACGGCATTCTTTATTAGTATCAAAGCTCATAGTAGTGGGTAATGTCTAAAATGTTGTGTAGGATACAGTCTCTCATTTTACTACAGTTTGTCAAAGCTGTCGGCAAAATTTCATTCAGTGACAGAACCGTCAGTCAAAGCTGTGTTAAGCTGTGTTATTTAAACCCTTGGGACTTAAGTTAATTGACTGAGGCGTGACTCATGTACCTTTGTTGGTAGCAACCAAACGTCAACATACTGGTCTATAATCCTTCACTATGAACCTCGGCCGTATAGCCTCTGCCAAGCTGTAACTACTGTTTTCTAAAAATTAGGCTCAGGGTCGAAGAACAAAGACATGGCAATGCAGAACATAAAGTGCGTTGTTGTTGGAGATGGGTAAGTTTGAAGTATTTGTTTGTCTTTCTGTTAAAACACAGTTGAATTACGGTAGTGAACACAATGAGCATTTAGAAACCATCATGGCGGCATAGGACCGCATCCGCACGCGATAGAAGAATAACAAGAATAACACACACAATGCGCTGTTATCCGTAGTATGTGCACTCGATAATACTAGATTTTTCAGTACTGGAAAATAGAAATACGAAGATCGAAAATCCTTATATATATAT